ACTGTCTTTTTGTATAAATCTTATTTCAAAATATGGATGGAGGATTGCGAGTCGTTTATAGGAGCTGGCAAACACATGTACTAACTTCTTCTCACTCGCATAACTGTTGTTTTTAGTAATTTGTTTTGCTCACCATGGCAACCTTAGCGTCGGGAATGGCGAGTGGAATTAGCTGATTAAGCTAAAATGAATATCTTGTTCAACTGGTACCTCAGAGCTTTTCACACAGGGGTTTGCTAGCAGCTGGAAAGCCCCTGCCTGTTTGGCGCTGCTCTTGCTGGAGAAGATTAATTCAGATTCGATACTCGAAGGTGCAAGCATAATTTCATCTGCTAAAATAATTACAGCTCTTTTTAATGCAGAATCTTCCACAACTTATTATTTGTCTAAACCTAGTTTGGGCTCAGTCTGCTCAGCGGTTCATGAAGAGATAGATGGATGGATGGATGGATAGATAGATGGATAACCACAGAGAGTGATGCAATGGAGGTAGACGTACGGAGAGGAGCGAGAGATGGATTAGCATGTCAGAGACTCCCTACAAAACATTACTCTTAAGTGCGCAATAGCTCATCGATCAGGCTTCTACCGCCTGCATCCAGGGCTCTTCCCTCCACTTCCCTTCCCGTAATCCATAATATGATCTCAGGCCTGTGCCGGCTGCAGGGGCCCTCTATGGGAAAGTCTGAGCAAGGGCTAATCAATAGCCATAGAGCATGTGTATCGGATGCAGAGTGAGAAGCAGGGCTTTGTTGACATCCTCCTCCCTATACTAATCTCACTCATCTATAAAGTATGGATTGCACAGGGGGGGGGGGGGGGGGAAGTGGACTGCGCCTGTCACTCCTACCATTGAAAGTATCTCCGTCTCTTCCCTTCCATGTCTTCTTGACTCTTTATGACACTGTACCCGTCTTTCCATCTATCTCCCTCTCCTTCTCCCTCTTTGTCTCTCTCTCTCTCCCGCTCAGTGCCCTCTCCATTTATCGGGCCGTGTCATTGAGCCATGTGTGCCGTCCCTGTCAGCAAAACGGCTGGCAGACTGTCTTCATTTCCGCGCTGAGAGATGCGAGGCCAGCGTGGCAGTTGTGAGAGCTATTGACTGGAATCTATCAAAGCCCTCCCTGTAGGGAAGCTGCCTGCCTTCCTGGTTGGCGGCCATTCTGAGCTTGCCCGTTTTCACTCTGAAAATGGCGACGTATATGCTGCTCCATTCTTGTCCACGTCCTTTCTCATTTGTCCCTCTCACCTGTCATATGTTCTATCAGGACTACTAAATCTGTGTCTATTTCTAGCACGATGTCCCTTGTGCTCCCTTCCTCCTCATGTGTCTTTCCGTGCCTCTCATTCTCTCCCTCCTTTTTTTCTTCTCTCCTTCCCATAAGACTCAGCCTCCTCTGTCTGGGCAGACAGGTCAAGCTTGCTGATGGGAATCAGACAGTTGTTGATCCAATTAGAGCTCCCCTCGAGCAGTGTCAGAGTAAAGCAGGATTCCAATCAAAATACTTTCCTCATTTTTCTCCTTTTCCATATTCCCTCAAATATGTCCTTGCAGTCAAACACAGCTGAACCATCTGACCACTTAGCTCATGGAACCTCAAGCCAAAAACCTGTAGGAACCTTTAACTCGACTTTGTTCTTAAGAAGTGCAAAGCTTCCTTTCGCTGAAGCTTTTCAGACTGACTGACTGCTTTTGGTACAAGTGGCTGAGCACTTCCTTCTGTCAGGCCTCTTTAGGACTTTACACATACCAAGAGCAAAGGCCCAGTCTGCCTCTGGAGCTCTTGTGAGAAGCCTCTGTTATAATGTAACTGTCTGGATGGCTAAAAGCTATTTCACTGAGCAAATCCTTTTTACCCAGTCCTTCTGCAGCTCAGGGAAATTACTGCATTGATTTCATGCCGAACAGACATGCAGTCCAATTCTGATCAGCGGACAAATGTATGACATGATGATATTTATGTGTTATAATGCACATGCTGATTTGCATTCAGCTGGCTTGCAAGACCATCCAGAGCACCATCCAGAGCACACTCAAGCACTATTTGTCTGCAGATAGTAGAAGGAAAAGCAATGGTTAGATCTGCTGTTACTCTGCAGACAACGGACTGATTTCCCCCAGATGCCCGCACATAGGAAACAACATGAACAGCAATAATGACTTATGCAATGCTGCGCTAATACTTGCAACAAGCATTGTTATTGCTCTGTCTCATACAGACGTACATCTGCGTACTCATTGGTTTATTTTCCTGGTTGGCAATGTGCCTATTGATGAGCAGAGAGCCATGACTATCTGTTCAGAGCCAGATGCACAATCTGAAGTGTGATTGAGCCGAGGCTGCGATCCAATGATGCTAGCAGCGCAGACATCTTACTCGCACTGAACTGTTGAGCCATGCTCCTATTGCTTTGGTGTACATGTGAGTGTGGCTGGTGTTAAATGTGCACAAGTCTGCGGTCACCACTCGTTAAAGTGTTTACCAGTTCCTACAGTAACACACATAAAATATAATTAGGAGCCTCCACGGAGCACCTTGTTAGCAGCAGTTGTTCACCCTGTCCAAAATCCTTTTTTGAATTTTTTTCCCATGATTAAGGATCATTAGAGGGCAGCAAATGGTTCATAACCAACATTTTTTAAGTGGCCACCTACAACAAATACTCCAGCCTGTGACCTAAAGCTTAGCGTCAGCAAGCTAGCATTACAAATCAGTGGCCTAGTTTATTCTGGGCTGTGCCAGTGATGATGGTGTGCGGTGAGAGGTCTTAGAAAGGTTTTTAGGCTGGTAGCAGTTTGTTTTGTGTTTTTGAGGGTTGTGTGTTGTAGCAGATAAACTTTAGGGGCAAAAGAAGGGTGTGTGTGTGTGTCAGGGCTACAGAGGCGTCTGTGTGATCACAGGGTGGGTGGGGTGGTGTGAGGCTGTTGATCTTGGGCCGGAGTCTTAAACAAATTGGCTAACTCTCTGTGGGAACTTGGGATGTAGTCACAGGGGTAACGTCAGCGTGCTCTGTGTCAGATTCTCCAAATGTCTCCGATAGCTAATTATCTCCCACAGTGCCAGAGGAGAGGTTTGGTGGAGCTTTTGTTGTTTTTCTTCTGCTGCGTTTCTCTCACTCTCCCTTCCCGGCAACATTCTCCTGGGCTGACTGTGAAAAGTTTGGTCCCATAGTAGGCCCTAAAGCCACGTAAACACATTAAGTTTTCTTATTTTCTAGAGAAGTTGGTTTGAATGTGTGTGGCCCTAAGCTGCACACACACACAGTTGTGTAAGTGCATAGCAATACTGTAAAAAAAATGATTAGAATAAAAAAATTCATACTCAAATCATTTATTTCAACTAAAAAACTCCCCGGTCGCTTCACTTCAGGTTGTTTTATTGCTGTCACTACCTTGTCAATCCTGGCAGCATTTCTTTATTCCCAGCCTTGTGATGCTGCATTATTATCAAGGCCCAAGCGCCTCCAACATCTGGGAGCGGAGATTAAAGCATCAACAATTCTCTCGGTGGGTGTCATCTATGTGATGAAAGGTCCCGTTGCTCACCTCCTGCAGACAGCCCCGTCATTGGCCCGTGTCGTCACAGAGTGGCCGTGTCACGAGCTGCCAGGCCTATAATGTGAAGGCGCTGACAGGAGAGCCGTCAGGTCCTTTCTAAGCCACCAGGTGCAGGGCAGCGGCGGTTCAGTGTTTGGACAAGATTGCTGGCTTAGTGTGTGCTGTACTGGTACTGAACTGTACAGCCTTTACATAGAGCCAGCGTTTGATCCAGGTGTAGATCCTCCCTCGGCCTCTGTTTCCTTCTTGTTTCTCCCACGGTCACTCACCTGTTTCTCTTATCTGACTCCCATTGTGTGTGTGTGTGTGTGTGTGTGTGTGTGTGTGTGCTTGCCTTTCTCTCACTACCTCTGTGGGTTTTTTTGTGTTGTTATTCCAACTGTCTCCATTCCCCTCTCTCATCTCCCCAGTCTGTTTCCAAAGAGATTCCGATCTCGCTGACGCACACTGAAAAGGGGACGGACACTGTTAAGACCCCCAGATCCCCAGCCAAGAGAGCCACCCGTTTCTCATGAGAAAAGCTCACCGAGAGCAAATGTCCTCTCGCTTTTTTTCCCCTTTGCTTCTTTGAGCCTGTCTTTCTTCAGATTGTCTCTGCCTCTACAGCATCTCAACAGGAGAGTCCTCTTCCTGAATTAATTTGCTGCCCGTCGGTGCTCACCTGCAGCTCAAGTGTGAGAAAATGCCCTTTGAGAAGTTATCTGTATAGCAACGTAGGTCATCGCAACACTCTCATCAACCTTTTATCAGCAATTATGCATACAAAAGGCTGTTGATACAGAGACAGGGGGGTCTTTTTTTCTACCTTTTTAATTAGATTAATAACAGCTATTTCATTTCATGTTTTCCTGCTGGTTGATGATAGACATTTGCCAGCTCTGTAGCGAGGGCACTTGTGTCATCCTTTGTTATCATCGTCTCAGAATGCCCCTGGTGTTCACTTCAACAGCATCTTAATATCTATGACACCCTCTGCTCAAACAACAGAGCCCGGTGAGACTGTTGTGGAGTGGGAAAAGGCATAACATTTTAAATAAAGGAGAATATGCCTGTTAAAGTGAAACGAGCAGGGATTACTCATCATGAACAGGAACGCCTTCTTGAAAAAATGCTTTGGCTGACAGAGCGGTGCTGCTTTACCATCTCCGAGGTATTTACAAGAGCGATTACTGTGATTATTATTTCAACAATACCCTGCGATGCTCTTTCATGGGCTGCCAGCCTGGGCCAGGGTGGAGAGAGCCTGCCAACAACGTCAGTCTGGGAATTTTCTTGGAGCTCCATAGGAGGGCAGAGAGGAGGGAGGGAGGAGGGAGAGACACAGAAACGATGGTAGAAGAAGATACATGCAACATGTTCAAAAGGACTCGTGTCCTTCTGACGGGTCGCAGGATGAAGTCCTTCTAACCTGATTTTCCCTCCTCTTTCTATCTCTCTGCAGCTCCCTTGGAGCCTTTGCTGTGCAAATTTGCCGACGGAGGGCAGAAGAAACGCCAGAGCCAGAGCAAGTACCCTCAGAACGGGAGGCCGTGGCACAGAGAAGGCGAGGTAAGATGTTAAACCATGCAGACATCACAGCATCTGAGATACCCGGAATTTTGTTTTATTTCATCATGAAATTGAGCAAATGTTCAAAGAATATGAGTGAATCATCAACTGTGGAAATCGTTGCACCAGCACAGTCAAATCAAATCAAGTTTTATTTATAAAGCACATTTAAAAGGGATTTTTGGTCGAGCCAAAGTGCTGTACAGTGATTTTAATATTCTTCAAGGACCAGTCGTCTTTTAAAATGTAACTTATCTATAGCTGACAAAATATCATCTTGGCTCTCATGCTGTCAGTATATTGCCACTGTAGCATCATTTTCTTTAGCTGATCATTTTCCAACCTTATTTGAACGATTGCATTCTACTGTCATTTATCATTTTCTTAATTCATTAATGGGGACATTCGCACATTTTGAAAATAACCAAAGCAACATATAATAATTGTCTTAGATTTATATATATTGTACTTGAATACAAAAACTATAGGGGACGAAAACAAATCTCAAACTCTTGATCCTTAAGACGTTCTGAACAACGCATTTATCTTTGAGGTAATGGTATTTCTTATAAAAAGTCCCACCCTGCGTACAAGAGCCCTTATTGCCAACATCTGGCTTTATGTAGACTATAACTGCCTGTCATTTGTATTTACTCTAAGATATAGAGCTGTTAAAAAAAGAAAAGGAAAACACCCCAGATATCGATCAAACTGCCCCTGGATGTATAGGCGCTGTCACGTAAATTGCATCTCAAGCAAATCGCCTCACTGAACACGCATATTCCCGCCATACATCAGAAACTAGAAATTGAATGCAGTGCTATGGTAACATACTCATCAGCAACATGTGGAGGCAAGGTTACAGCGTCTTCATAGCCTACCAACCAGCTATACTGGGAAGGACACACATAAGAGACAGGTACTAGAGTGCACTATATAGTATAGAGTAACACACACACACACACTCACGCACACATTCAGTGAGGCTGACAGTTGTGCTGAAACTGCAAGGTAGGGGAGCCCAGGAGAGATGAAATGTTTGTCCTTCAGAAAACACGTGTGTGTGTGTGTGTGTGTGTGTGTGTGTGTGTGTGTGTGTGTGTGTGTGTGTGTGTGTGTGTGTGTGTGTGTGTGTGTGTGTGTGTGTGGTGTGTGTGTGTGTGTGTGGTGTGTGTGTGTGTGTGTGTGTGTGTGTGTGTGTGTGTGTGTGTGTGTGTGTGTGGTGTGTGTGTGTGTGTGTGTGTGTGTGTGTGTGTGTGTGTTTCTGTGTCTGTGTGTGTGTGTGTTTCTGTGTCTGTGTGTGTGTTTCTGTGTCTGTGTGTGTGTGTCTGTGTCTGTGTGTGTGTGTCTGTGTCTGTGTGTGTGTGTGTCTGTGTCTGTGTCTGTCTATCACATGTTCAGCAGCCCTTACACACCTATAAGCCACTGAAGTGTGTTTAACCTAAATCACATTGCTCCATCCCCTCACAGGCCACACATTGACAGGGTCTGCTCAGTTAACTGGAGCTAAATTGAGATGACTGTGTAAGGTGTGTGTGTGTGTGATAAGGATAAAGGGAAAATGATATACTGTCAACATGGAGGAGACACCCAATTCATGTGCTTTTGATGTGTACTGTATATATCCCACCCCTTATACAGAAACTATATTTTGTAACTTACCGCATCGTGTCACACAGATCCTGCCTTCAGTAAAATGTGTTAATATATTTCTTATTCTCTAAATATACTCATTACTCTTCCTGGATTCAATCCAAAAGAGATATTTTTCCAATACTGGAAATGTGATTACTAAAAACACATCTAAGAAGTCGAATTAAGGAGAATTCCTCTAATAAGGATATTAACTATGGCCTTAAAAAGGGAGAGACACATTTACTGTGTGTTAGGGCGGGCCAAATGCATACAAGACCAATTCTGTTTCAGCTCATTGAAAGTTCTTCCTGTTGTCTTAGTAAGAGATAAATCCCTCTTCTGTATTATCCCCCTCTCCTCTCCTCCCCTCCATCTCTGTCCCCCTCCCTCCCCCCGATATATTTCACATTACTCTGGGATAAGGCGCGGCGACATGGCTGAGAGGCGGAGGTTTAACAACCTGAGTTCAAGGCAGTGTGTGTGTGAATGTGTTAATCTGTGGCTGAACATTAAGCTCCAGTATGTAGACGTTTATTTGTTTGTATGTGTGAGAATTGATGTGCTGTTGTTTTCTATGCTTGAGGATGTTTACATATTTAGCCCCCACACTTCACAGAGAAATATTTGAAATATGGGTAAGGATTTAAAAAGAAGCTATATTAGTTCCAGTAGAAAACTCGGTTTTCTGATTTCAATTAAAACATTTATTTATGTTTCTATATTTTATTGTTGGAAAACTTTTGTTTGTTCAATCATTTTTATCCTCCATACAATTTAGTATGTTTTGGAAGAGCACCACATTTCAAGACACAATACTAAGGGGGGGAAATCAAATCAAGAGAAAGAGGCTCCCACACACATCAGTTGCTTTTCTGTATTGATTCATCATCAGTAATATGCGAGTAGTGTTTCCCTTGTGTACGTGCATTAAATAGACCAGGTGTGCTCTATTGATGTCATTATGAGCTCTGGGATTTGTTTTGATGGAGCTGAAAGGTTTTATCATAAATTACTTGTCTTGTAACTTGCAGAGCCTTAGCATCTCAAATTGCTCTGTACATAAACAAGAAATACATTTAAAAAAACAGCATCACAAATAGGGCTAGAAAGTATATTATCCTTTATTAGAATGTTACATGTGTTTTTCTCATCCATAACAGTGATTACCAGTTGAAAGGATAACATTCAAAGGCTTTACTGTCAATATACAGTAGCAATATCCACAGAGAAGTGCTTGGCAATCAAAACCTTTGGTCCAAGGCTCCTCACACACTGTAATATTCAATACACTTAAGACATGATAGAATAATGAAGTAAAATAGTGCAAAGGTTATGGGTGAGTTTAAAAAGATTAGACCTCATTTACACCTTGCATTGCACTCTGATATGTTATCTGTATATTGACATTTGATCACAAAGAAGGCCTTTGCTGTCACAGCAGGTTGAAAAAGCATTCTCATTATCTTGTTTCTTCTATGTGGGATCAAAACTCAGAATGTCAATTAAGTAGATTAGTGTCCTTTAATGAGGGAAGGGGTCAACTTATTTTGCCTCGTTGCTTAAGAAATCAATAATAAGCATAGATAAAAGGGATGTTTTGAAGAATGACTGTATGAAGTGCTTATCCTTAGTCAGCGTGTTACCTAGACCTCTCTCCATAAACCCTTGGTGTGACCTTTAACAGATGTGTTGGTTGTAGACAACACATTCACACCTGGCTGAGATCAGATCTCAAGTCAGCCCATCTGCAGACATGTCGTGGCTCGTCGTTGGCATTCTGTGTGCGTTTACTCCTCCACAGTCAATAGAAAGGCCCTTATAATATGTTGTGTGTGTGTGCATCCTTGTGGTCATTGATCAGCTGTACAGGCAGGGCAGGGGGGGGGGGGGTGGGAGATAAGCATCACATGTTACTGCATCTGTCAGAGCTGAGGTCATTCCTCACCTCGCTCTCTGGCAGCAGCAGCCCACGCCATCCCTATCTCTACCTCTTTCCTTTCCCCATCTCTACAGTTTACCTCACTCTTTCTCTCACTCTTCTCTCTCTGTCCTTCTTGCCGTCGCTCTTTCTCTCTCCCACTTTGTCTCCCCGTCTCTTCTTCCTCGTGTTTGAAGGCTTCCCAGTTCCCACAGCAACATATGGAGACAGAGAGAGAGCGAGTGACTCACTGCGACTCAGAGAAAGAAAGATAGAGGGAACACATTGCATGATCAGTCAGGATACACCGGGTTGAGTGCTGCAGGGTGGGCTGATGGTGAGGATTGAGAAATATATGACAGATTTTCTTGTAAACTATCCAAAGTGGGAATCGAGAAAGTGCTGTCTCTCGCTGTCTCATGCTGACAAACATATTAGTCACTGCCTTCTTTTACCACACACACACACACACACACACACACACACAGACAAACACAGACAAGCGCCATGGGTGCTCGTTCTTTTCTCCCTCTCTCTTTTCACGTCCTCGCTCCCTTTCACCAACACACACTCCTACACACAAAAACTTTCAAAGTCACACTTCTCAAGCACCTACTCTAGGGGAATGAGTGAAGATGAAAAAAAACATCCGGCTTTCCACTCTGTGTGAAATCCTGACAGATGTCCGTGTGTGTGTGTGTCTGTGTGTCCGTGTGTGTGTGTGTGTGTGTCTGTGTGTCCGTGTGTGTCTGTGTGTCCGTGTGTGTCTGTGTGTCCGTGTGTGTGTGTCTGTGTGTCCGTGTGTGTCTGTGTGTCCGTGTGTGTGTGTGTGTGTGTGGCCACTAGGCGGGGAGAAAATAAATTGAGCGGAAATCTATGTATGGGAGGCAAAAATACAAGGAGGGTGTGGGTCAGTGTGTGTGTGTAACCGTGTGTGTTTGTAAAGACATTGATACGATGGCTCAGATCAGTTTTCCAGCATACGAATACATCAGGGGTGTCCTTACAGCTGCCTGACATAAGCTGTCCTTACACGACCCTTTTCCCCTTTTTGTAGGATCTGCATTTTGAACACATGGATGCTTACATTTACACACACACTTTTCCTTTTTATTTAAAGCTGCTCTATTTGTATAGTAAAACCATTCACCTTTGTCTTGTATTTGTACGACAAAATGCATTTTATTTACCTAAGAGCACAGATGAAATAAATGAATGCTAGCTCATTATTCACAATGTTTATTACTTGACTTAATGATTGACTACATAAATAACAATTGAGTCATTCTCTGCTGCTTATCTGTGTAAATACAGATGGCATTAAACAACATTTTGGCATAATGTTTATTGTTATGGGTATAATTACGCAAAATGTTTAAATCCATAATCGTTGTGCGGAAATGTTCTGTTAGATCATCATATGTACTGTATAAAGTGGAGACTAAAACTCAATTTCGACCTCATTTAAAATGCAAAATGAGCATACAAAGCTTCTCTCTCATTAAAAGACTGGCCTGTCCATGGCAGCTTTTCTCAGGGCCAAGCTTTGTTCACGAGATCTGTACAGTGTCAATTTTTTTCAGTCTCCAATCAAGCTCAGACAAAACACACACACACACACACACACACACAGACTGTCTCTGTCTGTTCCTTCCTCCTGGTAGCAGAGACAAAAGCTGACTGCATCAGTGATCAGTCATTGGTCGAGCAGGGTCTCCGGTCAGAAGCTTCTCTGCTGTGGAATTCATCAGCACATGCAACCAAGGGCAGCACTTAGGGGAGACATCAGCCTCAGCAGACAGATGGCCACGTCTGCCTATGCTATTAGCGTGCATTTAAACACACGCTCTAACACACAATAATGCAGTGTTGATGTCCTGTGTAAAACTGGTTTAATAATACAAACACGGAGACCTTCGCAACGTCATAGAAAAGGACTGAATGTTAAAATACACTAATAAAGTGGAAGAAACAGTCCCTTCATTTAGCTTTAACTGTGCATACTTTGTCTCTGAAAGCCTTTTTTAACTAGCTTTTCATGTGCACTCTTACAGAAATTGAACACAAAGGCCTACAGCCACTCAAACATGCATCCACACATCACTACTGTATTTATTCTGTATAGATTCCCTGCTTTTGCTCACTGCTGTGGGTTTAGTCCGGGCTCACTGACCCCCCCTGCTCCTCTGAGCCACTATTCCCTTAACGCTCAGTGTAGGTAGAACCCTGGAGGAACAAGGGCACACACAAGGTACAGAAAGACAGGAGGAGGGTAGATTAAGAGATGAGGGATGAAGAGAGGAAGGCAAGGAGAGAAAGGAAGAGAACACAGGATGATGGAGGAAGAAAGGAGAGGGGGGGAGAGCAGAGTGAGAGAGTGGAAGGGCAAGAAAAAGGAGTGTGTGTAAGTGTATGCTGATGAAATCTGCCGTCCTCAGCAGCCTCGCGTTAAAAGAAATCGGATTAGCTCTCCTCCGGGAGAGAACCTTCAGGAATGCAGATGACGGATTGCGGCGCACAGGTTTCTCTCCTGGACTCTAAGAGGGCCTCACACACACTTACACACATACACCTATACACACACACACACACACCCTCAGCAGACAAAGAATTCAGTTTTCCGCGTACCCCTTTTCTCTCCAAAGGGCATTTCTTCATTTCCTCTCATTCATAAATACATGACTGCACGTGATTGAAATAGAAAAAGACGCCTCTTCAATACCAATTCACTTTGTCCTATTGACTAAGCTTTTCCCCGCATTGGCTTTGTCACTTGTCAGTTCTCCAATTTTAAAATGAGTTGATTTTTATTTGATTGAATTTATTTTGAACAAAGAGAATTAGGGAATAAATCGCGTTATTCCCCAAGTACAATAAAGGTACAGCGAATTATCGCGCTGACATTGATGCAGGAACTTATCGACTGAGTTCCCAGAGACAATCTGAACACACCGACACAAAGTAACACACAGGTGACAGTGACAGAATGCGGTACAATGTACATGCACATGTCCAATACCATTTAGAACAACATATTAATCTTACCTGACAATCGTCTACCCACTAAAATGGTGTGACTCAATAAAATAACAGATAGTGTGCATGATTTCTGGTTCAGGTTTTAGTATTTCACACCTTACATTAAGAGTATAAAGCTTTTTTCAGTGTTTTCAAGTGAATGTTTTTCTCTGATCCTAATCTCTCAATTTGTGATTAATCCTGCGTGTTTATTGTTTCTTCTCTTTCAGACTGGCATGGCGTTAACATATGATCCCGCTGCAATGCAGAATGGGTAAGAGCTTGACGGTCAATCCATCCTTGGCACCATTTAATACACTCACCTATTGGCTCATTTCACCCCAGTCAATAATACTGCCATACATAAAGATTAATGTAGAGACTGCACTTTGTTACTGTTTGATAAGGAACATCTATAAGGGGACTTCAAATATTGGTTTTCATTGGTAGGGTAAGAAATAGCAAAGGTGTGTGTGTCTTAATGTGTCTTAGTGTGTGTGTCTTAGTGTGCTCGTGTGTTTGGGTCTTCTTCTATGTCTGTGTGTTCCTGTGTGTCTCTGGGTCTTTATGTCATGACTTAATGGTGCTGTGGAAATAAATGACCCGGCAACATGTTTTATTTTTCCCCGCTGTACTGAGACAGGAAGGGGAGTGTTGAGGCTCCCCTTTATCTCCCTCTGGCCTCAGTCACTCACAGGAAGCTCCTCATTCCCCGCTTCCTAAACCACTTATCCCCCAGTGACAGAGTCAATCTTTACCAAAAAATGTGATGAATGGCATTACTCATTACACACAGCCTGCCATGTAAAAGTCGGTCACAGCCAGCCACAGACATTTGTGTTAAGCAACAGACCTGGGAAAGTTCAGCTTAATGATCATTTTACAGAAAAAGGGAAATAGGGTGAATCAAGTAGCAAAAAGTGCAAGAGTAGTCTTTTTTTTAGTCAATGTAGAAAAGGAAAAATAGACAGACTCAGCTAGCAAAGATTGTAGAAGCTATTGTCAATTAAATTCATATGTTAATGCGAAGTAGAAAATAAAAATGCAGTTGAACTTAAATTGTCAAACTGAAATACCACTCCACATTTGTCAGACTGTGCTTACTGGTACATAAAAATTCAAATGCAAATTGGATTATCCATCCATCCGTTTTCTGCTGCTTATCCGAGGCTGAGTCTTGGTGGCAGCAGGCTAAGTGAGGCGGTCCAGACCTCCCTGCTCCCAGCTAATGTTTTGCAGCACTTAATGGAAATTCCGAGGTATTCCCAAGCCAGAGTCGATATATAGGGTAATTTCTCCAGAGTGTACCCAGTCTAACCCGGGGTCTCCTACCAGATAGAAAACCCCCAAAGGAAGGTGTCCAGGAGGCATCTTGATCAGTGGCTCTACTCTGAGCTCTCCCCACTCTAAGAGTGACCCAAGCCACCTTAAAGAGAAAACTCATTTTGGCTGCTTGTATCTGAAATCTCATTATTTTGGTCACTATCCATAGTTCATGGCCATAGGTAAGGATGGGAGCGATTGACTGGTAAATGTAAAGCTTGTCCTACTGACTCGGACACCAAACTAACCTGCCTGATGATTTGTCGCTCCAATTTACCTTATAGTCCTATATCTCCTTGTACCCCTCCTTTGGCGCAGCAACTCAATTCCAACCCTGACGTACTGTAGCAATTTCACGTTTTCCAGGGCCTCAGACTCAGAGGAGCTGACTCTCAGCCCGGGGCCTCACATTGGACTCAAACCGCCTTAGTCTGTGCCAAAGGTTGCGACAACAATGCAGCATCCCATGCAAGGAGCAGCAAAGCAATTCTGATACCTTCAAAGCAGACACTCATCTCTACTCTAAACTTTAAGACCCTGTCCAAGTCTGCGATGCCAGGGGTCTGCACACTTAGAACCTGACCCCAATGTCAGTCCCAGAGGGTGGTGGGCCCGCAGTGTTAATTGGATATGCAAATTTGAAATAAAATGATGATGCAAATTATCCACATATATACTATTGAGGGACTGAATTTAAAAAAAAATTGTTTTCAATAGCATTTCAATAAATGTATCTCAAAGTTTTCAAAGTCAAGTCAAAGTCAACTTTATTGTGTGTACAGACAGAGAGATCAAAATACCGTTTCCCACAATCCCGAATACAATAACAAAAATATATAAAAATATGTATACAAATATGTTTATACCTATATATATATATATATATATATATATATATATATATATATATATATACACAATCAACATACACATTTGTATATATGCGCACATTAAGACATAAATAAAAGCAGAACAATCAATATATACAAAATAACAGTCACTTCAATAACTTTGAGAAATGTAATTAGGAAATCACCTTGAAAAACAAAACTCTGAAAGCCATTTGAGTGTCTCACTCAAAGATATGTACTGTTTTCAGAGTTGTTGTTTTTGTATTCCTTGTTTAGGGTTTTACAAACCTGTCTGCCTTTGTGTCAAAATGAACTGTAAAACTGCAAATATGTTATTTTAACATACAGAAAATGAAATCAAACTACGAATAGAGAAATAAATATATTATTTCATCAAATAGATTTTTTCCATTCAAGGGATTTGTAGGGACACATAAAAAGACTATAAATATCAAAAACACCAATATCGACAATAATTTACCAAACTGGTAAAAACATTATCTGTGATAATGTTTTTGTTGTTCTGTTAAAGTGGGCATGGGGTCTCCAGGGCTCCAAAAATAAACTCTTGAGTTCAAACATAAAGTAATACGCACCGTCACAGTCTGATCTGTATCTTATATGGGGCTGTTAAGTCTAGTACAGGGCTCTCCAACCCGTCGATCGTGAGCTACCGGTAGCTCGCGGGCAGCTTTTCAGTAGCTCGCCGCTCGATTATCGATTATAGCGTAGTAAGGTTGCTTATTGATTTTTCGGCCGCGGCTGGACAATAACTTTTTTTTATTTTAGAATTGTTTCTGTCACACGAATATCAAATGGTCGGTGACGCAGAGATCAAGGAACAGACGTGACAGTAGCACAGCGACAACACACACGGAGCAGTCTGCTTTCTCCACCAACACCAGTCCAGAACCAACAGCAGAATGACCCGCTCTGAATCAGGCCCTGTCGCTGCGGCTCAGAGACACACAGGGAGGGATTTGTGTTTTTTGAAAAACACTCGTTATCGTCATGTCAGGTTTTTGGTGGATTTAATCAAGTCTTGGATTGCAGAGTATGAATGTCCTCTTGTTATTTTCAGTTGATAAATACTTGTGTAAAGTTTGTGAAGGCAGGAGGAAAGCTTCCGCGATCACCGTCTCCTCTCCGTTCCTCCAAACCCCGCCCCCTCCCTGAAAATAATGAGTGACAGGCTGATAGTGACCCGATAGAAACTTTATTATTCACTTAATCACTGATTGAGATATGATGAAGCTAACTTAATCTCATACATTCATGGGATTTATGTAACAGTAAGACAGAGAATGTAAGTGTGCACCCACATGCACTATTTTTGTTTTTATAATGCTGTTGTAAATACTCCTGTTGTCTGCTGTGTTCAGACTTAAGTCCTGTGTGTGATGCCACATTCAAGACATTCAGTGTCTTTTTTTTTTAACAGAAGACCGTTGCTAGAAGCTGCAGCTAGACTGCAGAAGCATTAGTTTTTTGTTTTTGAGGATAGAACCATTTTCACACACAGATATAGGGAGGCTAGACCTATACAATTGATTTATTATGGTTTATAATTTAATGTCAAGACGAAGAAGAAGAAGAAGAAGAAAAAGATGGCTGAACAACTGTTCAGTGTCAATCCTGTGGAGATCTCCAAAATAATGTTCAGCTAAAGTCTCAGCAAAACTCACAACATTTCTGGAGCCTTGTAGACCCCGAAAACTATAGAACATTCACCAAGCAGCACTGAAAATGTCTGCTTTATTTGGTTCTGTTCTACATACCTTTGTGAAGCAGCTTTTTCTGACATGAATGTCATGAAATCTAAATACAGAACAAGACTGACTGATGAACATTTAAATGACTCTATTAGAGTGAACCTAAGTGGGTACACTCCAGCACACACCTGTATGGTGGACTGCATGCAGTGCCATTCTTCTCACTAACAAAAGAGTGAAATGCTTGTAAGGTGGTGATTAAGGACATTTATGTGAATTTTCAGTGAAGTACTTACTATGTGGGCCATAATAATATGTGAGAAATCTTCGTTTTCTTGGACCTTGATGTGAAGTTAAGATTTTTGATAAGCTTTAGGTATTGCAATTTCACATGTGTACAAAAGTATAGCTTAATTCAACTGATGAGGGCTATGTGAATAAATGTAAGCAATGTGATGCAAGTAGCTCTTGGCCACTTTCATTTTTTGAAAGTAGCTCTCAGATGAAGAAAGGTTGGAGACCCCTGGTCTAGTATATACATTGTCTGATATCCTCTGCCAGTAACATGATCTTGAGATCAGGTGGAAGTAACCATTGGACGCTCCACTACTGTATGCCTCCCAGGGAATCACAGCAACACTGGGGTGCTCTAAACCTTGCAGTGAGATAAAGTAAAGTAGCGCGGAAGACCCCCTCGCTACTCTGCTGCGTATGTCAAACATTACTTTCTTGAAATGCATTGAGTTTTTCCCAAGCTCAGTCTACAGGCGGCATGGTACAGTGTAGCCTTAATACTAGAATCTCCTTCTTCATACGATGACAAAGCTCTGTGTGTGTGTGTGTGTGTGTGTGTGTGTGTGTGTGTGTGTGTGTGTGTGTGTGTGTGTGTGTGTGTGTGTGTGTGTGTGTGTGTGTGTGTGTGTGTGTGTGTGTGTGTGTGTGTGTGTGTGTGTGTGTGTGTGTGTGTGTGTGTGTGTGTGTGTGTGTGTGTGTGTGTGTGTGTGTGTGTGTGTGTGTGTGTGTCAGAATGTATTGTTGACATTATGTTCTGTACATTTATTTTGAATTTGACAAACTCGTTGCTTTGTCCTCTTCCCTTCCTTTTACCCCCTTTCTACTTCAAATGTCTCCTCCCTCCTTCCCCTCTTTCTCTCCCTCTGTCTCTCCTCAGGTTCTACTCCTCGCCTTACAGCATCGCCACCAACCGCATGATTGCACAGACCTCCATCACGCCCTTCATCGCTGCTTCCCCTGTTTCCACATATCAGGTGGGCCATAATGCACTGCATTATGGGAAGATTGCTGCCCATGTATGTGTAATATGAGGGTTTGCTTTGTGTAAGGGGATGGAAGAGAAGGGGCGGGCTGCAAAACAGCGTGAGGTTCTCTCATCTTCTCTCATCGTTTCTTCGCTGCTCCAGCTGTGCTCGATGACATCTGTTCCGTCGGCGGCAAACACAACAGGCATCAGAAAACAAGCAATAGAAAAAAGGGATTTAAAAAAGAAAAAGCTGACAGGGTAGAAAAAATAAAATCACACACCAAGACTGAAAGTGTCTAGCGAAAAAAACACTTTTGTCCCTCCCAGTTTTCTGACCTCTTTTGTGCTCCCTCAGCTGCTAACGCAATAAAGCAGTTATATTTTTATATTTTTTTAATAACTTGGATACCATCCCTTTCTCTTCCAAAGTGAAACTCTGCATTACTCACGGCTGTGATCTGTGGAGTAATGAAAGCGAACAGAACAGGAACGTGAAAATTGACTGTGTTAGATGTCAAGAGCGTTAACCGTTTTCCCGTCACCGCACATTTCACGCAGCATCCCTTTGCCAAGTCTAAACATCAAGAGGCACTGCCACTGTGCCCTCTCGCTCAGACACTATCGTTTAACATCGGCTCTGTTTGGTATGCAGAGACAGACAGACGAGGAAGGTGAGCAAGAGAGAAGAGATGAAGGATAGATGGGGGGGATAAAGGGGACAGATGGAGAGACAGACAACTACGGAGAGGAGGACAGATAGTGCGGGTGGTAGTGATGGCGGTGGCTCGGGTAGGGGGGCAGAGGAAGGGGTGTTGCTGAAGGTTGCTGTGCCTGTCTTTGAGGCACGCTTGATTAAAACTCTGGTCCAGTACCTGTGGTGGAGGGGTAGTGGGAAGAGGAGGAGGGAGAAAAGTGGGCCAGGGCGCGTCACTAATCCGCTCTCGGAAGGCTTCCCAAATTGATTTATCAAAAACAATGGCCGGGCTTTTGAGGAATATTAATCCTCACAGTTTCAATATCAGGCAGCTCTGCCACCGCTTCCTGTAATATTGCCCTTCAGCCAGTCACGGCAGGAAGGTGAGTCCTTCATCTTCTGTTGAAGTACAAAGAGACATAGGGATAAGAAAAGGAGAAGACTAACCAGGCAGCCACATATGCCAGACAAAAGGAAATCGCTTCCTTTTATGATGGAAACTATTTGCCTTTTGTAATGAAAACCTCAAGATGGCATATGCAATGACTGCATATGCCATTCCCTCTTTTATGTTTATGTTGAGTGGATATTTCTTAGCTTCTTGCTTGGTGGCATTGATTTATCAAATCTGCAAATGACCCATGCCAACTGCAATGTTCTGGTGTTCTTTCAAGCCCGCCTCCGGTGAGCTTGAATGATGATTGGCTTTGTTTCCTGGAAAAATGCTTTGATGATCCACATGACAGGAGCCAGCCAAGGCCAGATCACCACCAAGATCTCAGCTAGTGCCGCCAGCCAGCCGTGGCCTGGTTTACATCACTGGCTCTGCACACTGGCTCACTGGCTGACTAAATATGTGGCTGGCTGCTTGGATGTGTGGCTGGCTGGCGCACTAACCAGCTAACTGGTTCGATGGGTGGGTGGCCAACTGGCTGGTAAATGTACTTTTTGGCTTGTTTACCGAAAGGCTGTCATAAACGGTAACACAAGCTGTGAAGTTCAGCCAGAGGTAGGGAGCTTCTTAGGTCAGGAACATTATACCGTTCACTCACACTAAACCTACTTTAGCTACAGAATACCTGTATTTGACTAACTGTTGTTACTGTATGTAGAATAACAAAAAAGTCACCTTATCAGACCTGTTTTAGGCCCATTGGGGTACATACAAGTCAGTCAAGACAGGTCCTCAGAAGCAAAGTCTTCTGGATCTCTGATTTCTGCATTTTTCATCTCAAACGGTCTGGATAGCACTCTGCCTGCGGCTGTCTGGTACATTTTTTATTATTCTAAATTTTTACCTTTGGGCCATGTTTCCATTTTAGAGGGAGGCTGCACTTTCTCAGGCAGCAGCATGAGCCTCTTTGACACACAATTCACTGTTGTTCTGTCAACTTGTGTGGAAAAAAATGTTTATGAAGTGGAACTATGAGTCCAAATACTCTGATCTCCACATCATGCATTCCAATCAAACTCTGGCATTGGTGGAGGCAGAAGTTATGACAGTGAACATTTTAGCAGCAAAGAAGAAAATGGAAAATATAATTGTGTGCAACTCTGAATTCCAAGTGTTCTGTTACTCTACAACGATTTTTAAATACCAAGTTATCCATTGTAGTAAGAAGCAGCACCAAACAGTAGTACATTCCTATTCAGATATTCTTTGCTGCTACTTATTCTGCGTTCTACCAATGCAAACTATTGATTAAATCTAAAACTATCGAGAATGGAAATGCAAGATGCGTCCAATCTTAATCAGGTTCACATTCTCTGTAAGACTGTAAACATTAGTTTTGAGGCATCTCACATGGTGCAAAACATCTATAACATACCATAGCACTGCATTGGAGTAAGCCAAAAACAGTCAATATGTGTTAAGCATTACACTAGCTCTCTAGTTTGTTCGGCGTCATTCTGGTTTTTTTTCTGATTCGTTGGTATGCAAACAAGGGTCAGTGTCGTAATCACACTGTGGGATTTGGTCCTCAAATTTTTTTTTTAGCCACCAAAGCCACTAAATCGGCCATGAGTGGACGCATTATAATATAAACCACCGTTTTTTATTTACAACCAACCATGTCTCAACGTTTATCTGGGACAGCCCAAAATCATGTATAATTTAGGGGCCTTAAGTCTGACTATAGCGCCTAAGTCTCTCTATTAAATAAATCACATGAGGGTCATGCAGTGTCTTGCATGAAGATACGTGATTAAATATAAGCTTTCTCTGTGTCTCTCTGCTGTCCCGTTCAGCTGGGGAGAACAAATACCGCCATGTACAAACAAACAGACTTGGCTTCATGTTATGGAATATCGAGCTTATTTATGTGTGGATCCAAATCACGCATTTGGGTTGGCACAGAGGATTGGTGGCTCTTAAAGCAGATTATCCCATGTTTGTCTTTGTTTAATCTAATCATTTTACCAGGATCAGTGGCCAGCCTGTGTGTTTGTCTGCTACAAGCTGTCTAATTCCTCTCTCCAACACATCTAAAAGCTCTGTTTGTTCCTCCATTCCCCGAGTCTCTTGATCATTGTCTCTGTCACTGTTTTACTTTATCGTGCACATTTGTGAATATGCATGTCTGTATATGTTATCTCTTGACGTACCTCTGACTTAGGATCCACAAAGACATTCTATCCATCACTCTTAAATTATTCTTTCTTTTCCCTCTAATTTTAAATATTCCTGCCTGATTTTGTATGGTTCTCCCTAGCTGCCTATCCCTCAAAGTTGCACAATGTTTCACCCCTCTTGCAACAGCACTGGGTACAGCTTTAGAATTATTATTATAATAGAGAAGGAAACTAATTTATGGGCTTCATGCACAAGTCAGACTGTTGGCAATAATGAGAAGGCAGGAGGGAGATTTGCTGCCTCCAGACTTCTTTGGTACAACTTAATCTGTGTAAAGTTCAGCCGTTTTGGTGCATTAAACCAATGCAATCATCTTTAAAACCTCCAGACTCGGGAATATTTGAACATATTGTGAATATTTGAACAGCGTCCATTGCTTTATGTGGGACAATACTTGGTTTTGTTTCAGATTGTGTAAAATGTATACTGTCGGCGTCATTTAACATTTGATGTGTTTCTCTTCAGGTCCAGAGTACGTCATGGATGCCTCATCAACAATATGTTATGCAACCTACAGTAAGTACTCTCCCATTCACCTGCAGTAACTGCCCCTGACTCTCCATTGTTGCCAAGGCTTGGTTCAAAATGTTTGGTTTGGCTTTAGTTTCTTCTTTTTACGCAGTGTTTTTTTCCATAGTTGTTGAAAGGCTTTAGAAGGAACTCGTTAAAAGAAGTTTATTTCATGTTCCTGCTGAAAATAGATTCCAACATGGAGCATATTTTTACATTTAGAGAAATACTGCTGATCAGATAGATTATGTCTGGAAAACCACATTCCTTATGCACATAGAATTACAGCACCACATAAAATAAACGTCTTATAGCTAAATCATTACACTACTTTTGTCCTGCAATTAGTTTATAGTGCACCGCTCCATGAATGCACATTACCCCATTTTGATGTTTTCCAAAGTATACCAAGGTTGGGAGTGTATAGGTGTTGGATGTACCAGGAAGCGATTCAGCATCATTTACCAGACCGCAGCACAATACAGACGGGCTGTGTACTGTTGCTCTGGGTTACCAGTCTAGACTGCAGACAGGGGAAAACATATAATTAATTAGATTTGCTTCACTGGCAGCACAGTCTGCAACAGTAGAATTGAGGTAGTTATATTACTTCCAATGGTATTCAGTCAACCCTGTATAAGAGTACAGAACATTGGTTCCCTGAGAGTCCAAAAATGTTGTTTTTTTTAGGTCACCCAGTGTGTGAAGAATATCCACACGTTTTTTTTTTGCATTTTATTTTCTTCACTGGTAAAGTCATATTTTACTACTTGTACTGAAATGTGATGGGTATTTCAGTTTTAAGCCAGACAACACATTTGTATATTACAGAATGTTAATAGACTGGTGTTTATGTCATGTTTTTGTGTAACATACCAACAGCACTGTATGGAATACATCCCAGATTTGCTTATTTTGTAGCAACCAAACACTTAAGTGATTTATGGAATGGTTTTTAGGTTGAGCTTTTGCTGATCCTAGTTAGTGTTCTCATGTTTGTAGCTTAAAGGTTTCTAATCAGTGTGCCAGAGGCTTAAATGTTTGCTTGCGGCTTTTCTTGGCCCTGAAAAAACATTCAGTGTAATTTATTCTCCATTGCTCTGAACCAGGCAAGGGCTCGTGAATATGATTCTTTACAATGGCCAAACAGGTTTGGTGTTTCATATTTAAAAATGAGCAAAAGACACATCCTAATGAAAGTTTGCCACAGTACAGTGCCCTGCAGTACAATATAGATTGCCATTACATACAGAAGAGTAGTCAGAAGTGTGCTGTAATACTATGAAGTGTATTATAGTACACTACACAGTATAATAAGAATATTCTACATGTTGTATCATTTTACTAATGCAGAACGTTATTTAAAAAGAAACATCCATCCATCCTCGACCGCTTTTCCGAGTCGGTCGCAGAGGTAGCAGTTCCAGTAGAGGGCCCCAAACTTCCCTTTCCCCTGGCCACATCAACCAGCTCTGACTGGGGGATTCCAAGGCACTATAATCCTTCCAACTGGTCCTGGGTCTGCCCCTTAGTCTCCTCCCAGCTGGAAAAAAAAAACGTTGTTACCCTCGATGTAACGTGAGTTATGAGTCATTTTACTAAAGTTACCTTTAATTAACCACACAGCACAATCATTTAACTTGTGCTGCTGTATAAAGGTTCACTATTCTTTGCTAATGATTCAATGAAAATGCCTGCAGGTGAAAAGTTAATGCCATGCTATTCAGACTTCTGAATTTGGGAATGATCTGCTGCAGTGCTGTGTAGTAAACAGAAGTTATACTGTATGGTGAATCTGTCTTTAGATGCTAAAAAACTTTCCCATAGCGTATAGTTCTCAAATATCAATCTGAAAGCCTCATGAATTATAATATAATAATTATATTATAATATGATATATACATTGTCTATATGACCAATTTCAATTTTATTTGGGAAAAATATACATGTTAGGTCTTATTTTAAATAAACCAATTGTGTGAGCATTAGCCGTTAATCAGCTTTTTTGTTGTACTGTAGGATGGAATAAACCTAAAAGGACATTTTTCCTATGGTGCAAATCCCAAAAATACAATTTACCGTACTCATATTTTCCTGTAATTTCTGTTAGCTTGCTGCTTCTGCTACTTTCGTTAAAAATGATGATTACATTAAGAAAGTGTGAATAGCATTGTTAGCCTGAGTCAAAAGACAACTGCTTGCGATTTAACACATTGGGAAGCACTGGACACCACAGCTGATGGTCCAGCACTCACTCACTAAAGGAGTACTCAACCAGCCGCGGCTCCACGCTGTGGCCATTTTCCACTCAGTCCTACCCATCTCCCTTCCACTCCCGCTGTGGGACAGTGAACATGTAATCTGGTCGCAGCAGGCTACCAGCTCTAGAGACACACACACATACACACACAAACACACACACACACACACATTTATATACAGCTGCGCTCCAAGCCACTCTTTGCTTTTCAGCCACGCGAACACCCGCTCTATGAATAACTCACCCATCCTTCTCTTCCCTGCCGCTGCCTGTTACGTTTCAAGTGCTGCACTTTCTGGATAATTCTTATTTCACACAGAATTTAAGTTTGTTTGCTAACAAGCTAACCATTTTTGCATCCGAGTTTTCCTGTGGCATAAGAATGACAGAGATTTCCAAAAGTTTAACTTCTCATCATGTGCAAAAGTGTCTGTATACCTGTGTCATGCACATTAGTATATGTCTGTGTCCTAACATCTACCACACCAATGTGTGTGTTTATTTACATGAGCACAACATCTTCTGGCACCTTCTCAGACTCTCTTGTCACATGTTGTTATGGTCTGTCGTCTGTCACATCCAGACGTACAAAGCCTCATTGTCTATGTTCATGTATCTGCTCATGTTGATACATATGTATGTGCACTGTTTTTGTAATATGGTGCCATGTGTGGTCCATTCTGGTCACTCCCAACTAGCCCATACTGCTTTCTGATGGCCCTCCATCTTTCAGCCTTATGTCATGAGGCCCTTTTGGAGCCATTGGCAGCAGCCAGTAGCCACATTTTACTGGGGTCTACATCTAATCATGCCTTCATGCCAGAAGTAGCCATGTGGCCATTTCCGCCCCCATGGCCCCGTCCCCATTGTGTTCCAGTGGCTCTCTCTGTCACCAAACGGCTGCTAGTTGCTAACCCCAGCTGTCACCGCCGTCACTGGATCATAGCTACCAATCTGTCTCCCTTTATGACCCGTGTTCATATCCACTATGAGCTACATTCACACTAGACCGCCCCTTACACACACACAGCCTGTCACCAACTCAGTGAATCACATCAAATTACCCAAGCATGCGAGCTTCAAGAGCTCTTGGGCCTACTCAAAGCATTAAAAACCAATTGATTGTGCTGCAGTTTGGCCGGTCCTACCACGTGTCTCGTGTAAAACCAATGGAGCGTTGTGCAATGTCGCTCCTGGTGTCCGCGCAATATGGAGGCAGTCAAGCATGGAAGGTGAAGAGGTCGCAGATGGCCAGTCAGATGTCAGGATGTGTAGGTTAGACAAGAAGAGACGCATGTGTTTATGGTAAAACACAAAACTGTCAGCCAGCTAAATAAATGCACAAGACATTCTGTTTTTTTTAAGTTCACCTAAAGTACTGTACGGCTTTACATGCTGAAACTGATACAGGAATATCGCTGTTAATATATGAAACAGCTAACACATATTTGAAAGCAACATACTGTATACAGCTTGAACTGTTTATATTACAGTAATCCTCTCATACATAAATTAAACTAATTCAGAGGGCTAAACTGTTTGACATCTCTTAAGATCAGGGTCCATTGTTTACAGAAGCATACATACTTACAAAACATTCTCTGTTGAGGAACATGACTGGTTTTGATATTCCACTTGAGTTACAGTAGTATCTTTTATGATTAATGGAGTTATCCGTGCTTTCTACTTCGCCTAAAGAATCAATTATCACCTTTTAATGCCTACTACAAGGGCAAACATAATAAATAGTCTGTGTGAGGAACTTCCACTCGGATAAAGAACTAAGAAATTATACACTGACCTTGAGAGTAAAGTCAGTAGTTCTCACTAAGACAAATGTAAGTTGTTGGTCAAATGATGTAAAGTGTCAGTATGGATATATTATTAAGAACCTTGTTAATTAGCTGCTGTTGTGTTTCTTTATTTCATTCTCCCAGAACCTTTGTAAATACCATCTTCTTTAAAAGTAGTGTCCAACTATAAATTGTGGGAGATATTAGATGATGGACTGAATGACATCAAAATGTTGAGATGAAATTGACCCGGTTTGTTTATAGGACAGTAAACAGAGAGCATTGCAGCTTGTACTGCTCCAGCAAAGGTGTTTGGTTTTTATCTGACTAGATTAAGTTTGACAAGTCCAGCCATACGAAACTTGACTTCATCCCCTGCAAGGGAGCTGGCGCTTTGTTAGCAGGAAGACAGAGAGAGTGAAGAGAGAAGGGTTTTCAAATTTGTTTATCCTCAATTAATGGAAGAGATGCATTCGGTGGAACTTGATAGAAAGTGACAGTGTTTCTTAAAGTGGACAGCTCGATAAAGATGCAGCTTGTTCAACCGCTCGTTGTTTTTGTACTTCTTTTTCTCTCTGTTTATCGCTTGTCTTCCCTTCCCTTACTTCCCTGAGATCTTCTAACGCTGTGCTCTGTTTGGCAGTTAAGGCGCGGGAAGTCAGGACAGCATGACCGCCTGCCTTTTGTGCTCTGTTATTTGCTCAGCATTACGCAAGTCAGCAAACGTTGAAGAACATGAGAAAAGTATCACAAAAATGTCCAAAAGACAATCATACACATGCAGCTCACACTCTGAAACACAACTGCCGAAACACATTCTTAATGGTTAATCCCACTTACATACAGATCATTAATCACACACGCTCAGATTTACTTCCAAAGAGTAGCTGCAGTGCCAGCCAAGCATTGCATTGCTGTCTTTCCCAATGACTTATCCACCCTTTTTCTCCCTC